ATCAAGTTTTGAAATTTCCATCATACTGGGGCTCTTTTTTTAATTTAAATGGGTTTGTTTGTTATTATCAAAATAATATATATTCAGAGACTAAACGTTATCTTCGGGCGTTCCTCACATACGAAGGTTACTCGCCGTGATATAGCTGGAATGCTCATTAACTTACACACTTCTCATCATGTTGTTTTTAAATGTAAATGATTTCTTAACAATAATACATGTTATATGAGCAGTACAAATTATATATATAAGGAACTTCTTCATTTCCATATAGGGGCGGTAGGGTCGCTAAGTGGTTAAAGCGTTCGCTCGTCCCAGTCGCCGAAGACCAGGGTTCGATTCCCCACATGGGTACAATGTGTGAAGCCCTTTCTGGTGTCCCCCGCCGTGATATTGCTGGAATATTGCTAAAAGCGGGGTAAAACTAAACTCACTCACACACACTAATCCATTTTCATGTAACATAGGACAAACTATATATTTGTTTGTATTTTATTAATTTTTGTATGCCCCCAGGGAGTTGAGATTGATGATAATACGATGTGCCGTTTGAGATTGACATCCAACTATCGAGGGAAAAACAAAGCACTTTGAGCAGCTGAGCTGGATATTGGCGCTATACTAAATATTAACATACATTTTATACACGTACAGATTATTGGTTCAGATAGATCACACCAACTTGCGCTTGTCGTAGGATTATGAATTACTCGAGTGGCCGGGTTCGGTGACTGCGTTGCTCTTGACAACAATCACTGGTTGGCTGGATCCAAATTCGATTGTTAAGAAACCAAAGTCACATAAACTGACGTGCATATGAAACTATACTGTCACATCTGTGTGGCAGCTAAATTCAGTGAGTGAGTATATTTGTACGCCGCCTTTAGCAATATATCAGCAATATCACGGCGAGAGACACCAGACATGGGCTCCACACATTGTACCCATGTAGGGAACCGAACCTGGGACTTCGGCGTGACGAGCGAACGCTTTAACCACTAGGCTACCCCACCGCCCGTTGGCAGATAGAATGAACCAAACATGACATGACTATTCGATGGCGTTGCATTTAGTACGACTACCAAGTAAGCAAAGTGAGGCTTTGGTCATGTTTCCTTATGTTTGCTTTCTTTTCCCAAAGAGTTTAGCTGATCGATGTGGCTTAAAATAGAATCTACTTATCAACTCATTAACATTGTTGAGGCACACCTGAGTGGGCAGTAAGCAATAAACAGGCAATGCATTATTCATAGATATCGATGTACATCAATGAATTGTGAATGGTGGCTATTAAGAAGCCTTTTGTATCTATCTGTTTTGCGCTGAAAACATTACCGTTCTGTCAGAATGCTAATATCAATATAATATAACTGGCTAATTGCTCCTTTATATCGAATTTGAAAATATCTTGTAACATCTTTAAACTCTGAGGGTTTGGTGTCCAAATTTTCTATGCCGAAAACATGCTTAACTTAATACACCAGGAAGAGACAGGAAATTTGGTCAACCGATCTACAGACAATAACTGTTCGTGATTTAAATTTGGGTCGGGGGTCGTAGTTCAATCAAAAATACAATACAAATATACATCTACTCTTGTTCATATCTAAATCAGGAAAGAACACAAAATCATCAACTTTGATTCTGTTCTGTTCAGGAGCATGTATATGCGTATAGGAAAAGAGAAAGGTTCTGTCTTGAAAAAAACCGAATTTATTATATTTTCTTAGGTATTCAGGAAATAGGAAATAAATAAAGCAAGATCATGTGTAGTCAAATTTGCAGATTTTTATTTTATTGCCCTGCAAGCCGTAGCTGCAGAAAACAACAACAACAACAAAAAGAATAGATTGAATCAGTGAGTGAGTGAGTTTAGTTTTACGCGGCTTTTAGCAATATTCCAGCAATATCATGGCGGAGACACCAGAAATGGGTTTCACACATTGTACCCATGTGGGGAATCGAGCCCGGATCTTCGGCGTGACGAGCGAACGCCCCAGCTTGAATCAGATGTTACTGTCACAAAGTTAGACATTTCGGTCATTAAATAGTGGTATATTCTTTAATACATGATAGTGTATTAGTAAATGCTTTGTAAGAAAGAAAACTGGTAATACCTAGCGCTTAGCTTTTCTGTTAATTTACACCTGTCCTCTAAGTGTATGGGGGCGGTAGGGTAGCATGGTGGCATATTGCTGAAGGCGGCGTAAAACCATGCTCACTCACACACTCTAAGTACATCCTTTAGCCCAGCACTGACGACCCGTGAAGATCCGGGTTAGGATCAGTAAGCCATGCTTGTCGTAAGAGGCGACTAACGGGATCGGGTGGTGAGGCTCGCTGACTTGGTTGACACATGTCACCGTATCCCAGTCGATGTTCATGCTGTTGATCACTGGATTGTCTGGTCCAGTCTCGATTATTTACAGACTGCCGACATATAGCTGGAATATTGCTGAGCGAGGGGTTTAAACAACGAACAAGCCAACAACCCAGCACTGGCACAGGAAGGAAGCATTTGAATTAGCAGTCGGTTGGGCTGAGACGGCGGAAGAAACTTATCCAGTTGGCGCTCAATATACAGTTGGTCTTGCGATGGGAAACACTTGAATACAACTGGTTTCCCCTATTCTTACATACTGCAATTATATTACTTATTTTCACGATCCATCATATAACAATCACAAGCATTTAACGGCCCATTGAAGCCTGTTTTGCCGGATGGTCGAGTTTGTTCTCTGCGGTTGACACACGGAAGCCCCGGGCTCGATTCCCCACATGGGTACAATGTGTGAAGCTCATTTCTGGTGTCCCCCGCCGTCATATTAGTGGAATGTTTCTAAAGCGACGTACAAATACACTTATTCACTCTGGGGTTGACATTCTGTGGTTTCATCAAATCACAAAATCCAGACGTAACCTCTCATATCTTTTAATTAAATAAATGCGATGTTTTCAATTTCTCAACAGCTGAGGAAGCGGCGTTGTCTTTATTAATCGTCGGATTTGTATGATGCTAATATTCAAGATATGGCAGAAACGCTGCCGGTGTGACTTCAAAAATTTACTGACGATGATGCTTATGAGATCACTTTTTTTGTTGCAGATCTCACAACATGGCCGGCGGTGTATATGTCGTCGGGGTGATGTTCCTTGTGATATGCGCGGTGTCAGGTATGTCCCCGACAATCATTTTCTTGACCGAACGTTGTCTTCAGGGCCCACTTGCACAAAGCGATCTTAGCGCTACGACTATCTTAAGCCTATGTTAGAAAATGGGAGTTACAATCATCGTAGCGCTAAGATCGCTTTGTGCAAGTGGGCCAGTGTTTGGATCCCGTGCTTTAGCACTTGACTCTACAACAGGTTTATCAGTATTCCAGCAATATCTCAAGGACTGACTGACTGACTGAGTATGGTTTTACGCCGCTTTTAACAAAATTCCAGCATATCACGGGGCACACCAGAAATGGGCTTCACAACCACCCATGTGGGAACTGAACCGGGTCTTCGGCGTGAAGAGTGAACGCTTTAACCACTAGGCTACCCACCGCCCATATCTCACATATTGTATCGGGGAGGTGGGGTAGCCTAGTGGTTAAAGCGTTGGCTCTTCACGTCGAAGACTCGGGTTCGATTCCCCACATAGGTACAATATGTGATTTTTGGTGTCCCCCGCCGTGGTATTGCTGGAATATTGCTAAAAACGGCGAAATAACATACTCACTCACTAACATGTTGTATCCTGTGGTGTAACTGAGCTACGATATTGTTGAATACTGCTGAAATACTAATACAATGTTGCTGTAATTTTTTTTATATTGCTTGAAAATTGTTCGAATACTGCTGAAATGTCAATGGAATATAGCAGGAATATTTTAAATCCTGCTGGAATATTGCTGTAACATTGCCACAATACTGTTGCAAATCTGCAGGAATATTGTTCGGATATTCTAGAATATTGCCAAAACTGCGCAATTTGATGACTGCCTTTCAATAGTCACTCTTATGAGAGGTCCCCATCTGTCCGACATATCAGATGCACAAACAGTGCAGTGCACACAGATTATGTAGAATGTGTGACCACTATATTGCTGAAGATGTACTGACTGCATCTTACCCGTTGACTGTAGTGCACGTACATTATATACAGAGACGGATGTTTATCAAAATATGTGGTGTTGCCTGCTGCAACAAATTTGGAAAGTGTACTAAACAGCAATGATAAACATTTGCTTTTAAATTGGGCTGTAATATATACCATTCAAAAAAAGTAGGGGCTATTGGATTTACAAGATTGATAAAATGCAAGTGATGAAGCCAAGGAGGAAACAGATGATGAAGTGAAATAAAGGGAAATGTGACAATTTATTCGATTCCTTTGGAAATGTTTCATCTGTATGGATATATATTACTTTTCTTCTCATATGCTAGTGGTATGCTCGCAAAATGTAATATCCCCTACTTTTTAATGGCATATGTTAATGTCTTAGGACTGAAAGAAAAACAAAACCATAGTATCTTGCATAGTACACTAATTATGTTCCAGTATTGCCTGAGAAATATTTTTCACATTTATTATCTGTACTTTAATGTCTGTACATCTGAGGTAAATTCCATGCACAAGGTCTTTGCTCAATGTGCTAACAATGCTATCCCGGTCGATGGATCAGTTAACAGTCAATTGTGCTTCGTTATGGGGCAGGATGGAAGTCCTGAAAATATTCTGGAGTCAAACAGATGGTCACTCATCCAAGGACGCGACCAATCCTGCACAACTTCACTTTCCACAGGGCCACACACCACCAACCTCTTGTTAGTTTGACCCTATTGATATATTATTAAAACGATTAGATAAGATAACAAGTGTTGATGACACACTTTTCTCTCGCATTGTTTCATTTGCAAACACATTGTATCTGTTTGTTTTTTGGCACAGCCGACACACGCTGCGTGAAAACTTGCAAGGGTATTCCCAGCGGTAAATATCAGTCGTGTAGCGGCTGCAATCAGTTCACTGCCTGCTACTACGGGTTGAAGTTTCAACTCAGGTGTTCTGCGGGACGGTATGGGACGATCAAGTGAAACGTTGCCAGCGGACGTCGTCGACGTGTCCAGAAAGAGGTGGGCATTTTTAAAATGATTTTTAATAATTTATAATTCTAACTGCATGTACATTGACGTGACGGAAAATACCCAGGAATAGTCCAATAATGTCGTATCGTCACATGACTATTAGCGGCTTCCACCATGGCAGTGAAGGATCATCTAACTTACAGGATCATTTTAATAAACATTGGGGCAGTGAGGAAGTCAAGTCGTTCGCTCGTCACACCGGAGAGCGGGGTTCGATTCTCCATATGGGTACAATATGTACAGCCCATTTGTTGTGTCCAGCAGCGATATTGCAAGACTATTGCTAAAACTCATTTACTTCTGATTTTAGGCCCGCTTTGAATAGCATTAAAGAATGAATGACTTTAGATGTTGATCACTGGATTGTCTTGTCCAGATTATTTACAGACCGCCGCAATATAGCTGGAATATTGCTGAGTGCGACATTAAACTAAAAGCAAACCAGAAAAGCTTAAGATTTTGACTGACGTTTTTTGCCATGTTTCATCAACGATGAACTGCCTCAAAATTTTAAACTAATGTGGTTTATTAGCACGTTCTGGCTAATTCCAGGTAACAACCCCTGTATAACGAACTGCACGGCTCTACCAGATGGTAACTACCAGTCATGCAAGGGATGCTCCCTGTATGCATCCTGTCGTCAACGGCGAATCAGACTCAATAAATGCTCCCCAGGAACATTCTGGGACGATTCCCTGAAGAGATGTGAGAAGAACTCCTCCACCTGCCCTGGCCCCACCCCTGGCCCCACCCCTGGCCCCTCACCACGTAAGTAAGAAAAATAAAATTAAAAATATATATTAACCGATTCTGTTGCATTAGGAAAATTCAGCAATTGTCATATGAGATGAAGGGATATAACTGTGCATGGGCCAGGTGTTTGCAATTATTCTCATTTCGTTAATACCAATGTAAATGATCTGCTCATGCTCAAAGGGATACGTTACTTTTAGCCATGCATGTCAGTCATTTGTAAATGTAAATATCCGAGCAGGCTTCTTGTCTGTGTTTGACAAAGTACTGGCGTTATATTGTCTTTTCACCAATACAGCCCCTGCAAGTCTATAATATGCATGTGTATAATATTTTATTAAGATAATGACAGAACGTTGTTGTTTTTCTTGCTTTGGATATATTTATTTCGGGGGCCAAATGATAGTCCTGCGTGTATCAAACGTCCGAATCCCGTGTTTTTGTTTGTGTTCGTGGTGGGAGCAATATAAAGCCTTCCCCTCTCGTTCTCTTTGTATATACACATAGTCCTTTTTGCGCCCTTCAGTTTCAATACATGTGTCCGACCCGTGAAGATCAGGGGTAGAATAGGTCTTCAGCAACCCATGCTTGCCATAAGAGGCGACTTGCTTGTCGTAAGAGGCGACTAACGGGATCGGGTGGTCAGGCTCGCTGACTTAGTTGACACATGTCATCGGTTCCCAATTGCGCAGATCGATGCTCATGCTGTTGATGACTGGATTGTCTAGTCCAGACTCGATTATTTACAGACCGCCGCCATATAGCTGGAATATTTGCTGAGTGCGGCGTAAACCTAAACTCACTCACTCACTCACTCACTCAATACATGTGTCCGAGAAACATTTCATGCAACCTGAGAAATTATGATTGCGTTGCAGTGTCAGGGATTAGCGTAGTTTTAAAGCTTACGCTCGTTACGCCGTATGTGTGAAAGAGCCGTTACACCAAACTCACTCACTCACTCACACCACTCACTCACTCACTCACTCCACTCACTCACACCTCCTCACTCACTCACTCACTCACTCACTCACTCACTCACTCACCACTCACTCACTCACTCACTCCTCCACTCACTCCACTCACTCACTCTTGCAGCGTCTAACCGGTGTGTCTCGAGCTGTGCCGGAGTTCGCGACGGCGACTATCAGTCGTGTATTGGATGCCAGGTGTTCGCCTCATGCGCCCACGGTCAGCTGTTTGACAACAGAACCTGCCCAGGCAATCTAGTGTGGGACGATTTCTACAAACGATGCGAAGGGATCTCAACAACATGCCCCACTGGAGGTAAATAAATCCATGTTTGGTTGGTTGCTGTTTCATGACCCGTGAAGATACGGGTCAGATTTGGTCTTCAGCAACCCAGAAGACGCATGCCACCGGAAACCATTTGCGTAGATCGATGTTCATCAATCTCTGGATTGTCTGTTCCAGACTCGATTATTTTTCAGACTGTCGTCATATAGCTGGAATATTGCTGAGTGCGGCGTTAAGCAACAAACACAAATATATTCATGCGTAGTTCGTGAGTGTGGAGTGTTTGCATTATGCCAGTGACGACAACTTAAAGGTGTTACTGTTGATGTTTAAGAAATGACCATGGATGTGTGCGGCGTTAAAAAGAACAGTATTGGCAATGCACCGATCTGATGATCATGCAAGGGCTTCTGCTGAGGTTTCCATAATCATCTGCCTCAGCTCGTAAATGAGTGGACCCGTGAAGGTCCGGGTTAAATTTTGATCTTCAGTAACCCATGCTTGTCGTAAGAGGCGACTAACGGAATCGTGTGGTCAGGTTCACTGGACTTGGTTGCCACATGTCATCCATTCCCATCTGCCCAGATCGATGCTCATGGTGTTGATCACTGGACTGGATTGTCTGGTCCAGACTCGATTACTTACAGACCGCCGCCATATAGCTTGAATATTCCAGATTTCGGCTACCAACCAATAAACACACATTCAACAGTGAACCCTGTTATTGTTTCAGCGCCAAGTCCATGCATGAAGAACTGTACAGGGAAACCCGACCTGACGTACCAGTCCTGCACCAGCTGTAAGGTGCACGCTAAATGTGACGACGGCAAACTGACCGACAACATCACGTGTCCCAGCGGCCTTCTGTGGGACGATTCACTGAAGCGTTGTGAAAAAACATCGAAAACATGTACACCAAAACAACCCCAGGGTGCTCTCACTGGAAATACGTAAGTATCGTGTATAACAGCAGGGCGGGCGGGGGGGGGCGGGGCGGGGCGGGCGGGACGGGCAGGCGGTTCAGGGCAGGGCAGGCGGGCGGGGGCAGGGCAGGGGCGGGGGCAGGGCAGGGCAGGGCAGGGCAGGGCAGGGCAGGCAGGGCAGGGCAGGGGCAGGGCAGGGGCAGGCAGGGCAGGGCAGGGTTACCAAAATAGGGTTTCTTCTGTAGAAGGTTCTGGAATGAAATTTGGCTTATGGAGTGCCTTTGGATTTTGTCCTTCAATGAATGCTCCTGGCATATTTTGATAAGGACGGCAGTGAGGGTTATCCAAAAGTATGGCAGTCATCTGGGTAGGGTCATTATTTCCAGTACATTAGTGCATCAAAAACCTTTTACTCCAACCAAAATGGATACCCATTGTGAATTGGGAAAATATACACCATGTTTATGGTTGCTAGAATTTAAATTTGGTAGGGGCAATGTAATCTTTCGTCGACTCTCTTAAGATTGAATCAAATCGGGATTTTCTGTCTATTAACGGCAGCATGGTATCTCAGTGCACAAGCATTATAGTAAATGCAACCGCACACACGCATGCATGTCAACATGCAAGTAATGTAATCCTGTTTTCTTGTCATATCTAGCTTCTTGTATTCAGGGGCCGGTGGGGTAGCCTAGTGGATAAAGCGTTGGCTCGTCACGCCGAAGACCCGGGTTCGATTCCTCACATGGGCACAATGCGTGAAGCCCATTTCTGGTGTCCCCCGCCGTGATATTGCTGGAATATTGCTAAAAAGCGGCGTAAAACTACACTCAGTCAGTCAGTCAGTCTTTGTATTCAGGGAGGGGCGAGGGTGGTAGCCTAGTGGTTAAAGCGTTTGCTCATCACGCCGAAGACCTGTTTTCGATTCCCCACATGGAAAGATGTAGGAAGCCCATTTTTCCTGTGTCCTCCGCCCTAGTATTGCTGGAGTATTGCTAAAAAGCGACGTGCAACTAAACTCAGTCACACACTCACATTTTCAGGCAAATATCCCTGCATCACAAACTGCACCGGAATGAACGATGGTGACTACCAGTCTTGTAAGGGCTGCAACGTGTACACCATCTGCTCCAACGGCAACACCTTCGTCATGCCCTGTTCTGCCAAAACCGTCTGGGATGACGCTGTCAAACGTTGCCAGGGTCACTCCACCACGTGCCCGGGATCTGACTACCTCACATTTGAGCCTCAGCACACGGAAGAGTAAGTCAAGAGTAAGTCAATATTACCATTTAGAAAGTGGTCCAAAGTAACAAATGTCATATTTGGGATTACACCGTGGAAGCTGCGGTGGCTGAATGGGTTAGACGACTGACTTTGTGTGCTGGCGATTAGGTGTCTGACGCGAGTTCGAATCCTGGTGGAGACTCAACCCACGGAAAATACTAGAATCTGTACTTTACTAAAATATTGTGATCCCAAATCTAACATTTGTTAGAACCTAGCAACGCGTGTGATATTAAACATCATCTTTGTGGAAAAATATACAATAAACAACGGTTATTACGAACGTAAAGGGGTCTCAGTTCGTATTTCGACTTAAATATATAAGTATTGGTGACTAAAAGACAGTTACATCATTCAATTCTTATAAGCGAGTTCGTTGTACAAGTAGTTACAGGGCGGTGGGGGTAGCCTAGTAGATAAAACGTTTGCTTGTCACGCCGAAGACCAGGTTCGATTCCCCACATAGGGACAATGTGTGAAGCCCTTTTCTGTGTTCCCCGCCGTGATATTGCCGGAACATTGCTGAGTGCGGCGTAAAGCTAAACTCACTCACGCACAAGTAGTTATAGTTCACTGTAGATGGCACAATTGTTTATAATATATTACGCCTTGCTTTTATATTACGTCTTGCTTTGAAGCTTAACGAAGTGATAGCAGGGTTGTGTGTTTGTTTGTTTGTTTGTTTGTTTGTTTAACGCCGCACAATATTCCAGCTACATAGCAGCGGTCTGTAAACAATCGTGTCTGGACCAGACAATCCAGTGATCAACATCCTAAGCAACGATCTACGCAGCTGGGATATGATGACAAGTGTCAACCAAGTCAGCGAGCCTGACTACCCGATCCGTTAGTTGCTTCTTACGTCTAACATGGGGCGGTGGGGTAGCCTAGTGGTTAAAGCGTTGGCTCGTCACGCCGAAGGCCCGGGTTCGATTCCCCACATGGGCACAATGTGTTAAGCCCATTTCTGGGTGTCCCCCGCCGTGATATTGCTGGAATATTGCTAAAAGCGGCGTAAAAACTAAACTCAGTCAGTCAGTCTAACATGGGTTGCTGAACACCAATTCTAACCCGGATCGTCACGGGTCACTTTCTTGTGGTTGGTGGTTAGTTGTCCTGAGGCACTACACGCTAAGGCAAATTCGGTTAACGCGTACAGTTATTAGCCGATTGCCCGTAAGCGTTCAGTTAGATACAAGAAGAATCAGCAGAGGGCCAATTCGGTATTTGAAACACCACCTTTGCGCCTGATTGCACATTGCTTACTTTGCAATGACAAGAAGGCTATAGATTGCGGTCATCACAGAGCGTGGATACCGTTATATGTGCTCTCAATGAGCAGTCTGATTGGCACTAAATGGAAAATAATAGTCGCTAGGCTAACTTCATATTGCCCTTGGGGTAGTGGAGTAGGCTGTTAGTTAAAATAGTTAATGGCAGAACTGTGACGATAGTGGTGGTGTATGATATGTGTGGTAGAAGTGTTTGCATAAACATCAGTATCAATGTTAGTGGCGGTATTGTGGCGATAGTTATGGTGTATGATATGTGTGGTAGAAGTGTTTGTAGAAACATCAGTACCAATCTTAGTCGCGGTATTGTGGCGATAGTGGTGGTGTATGATATGTAATGTTAGTGTATTGTGGTAGCTGTGTTTGTAGAAACATCAGTACCAATGTTAGTGGCGGTATTGTGGCGATAGTGGTGGTGTATGATATGTGTGGTAGCAGTGTTTGTAGAAACATCAGTAGCAATGTTAGTGGCGGTATTGTGGTGATAGTGGTGGTGTATGATATGTGTGGTAGCAGTGTTTGTAGAAACATCAGTAGCAATGTTAGTGGCGGTATTGTGGCGATAGTGGTGGTGTATGATATGTGTGGTAGCAGTGTTTGTAGAAACATCAGTATCAATGTTAGTGGCGGTATTGTGGCGATAGTGGTGGTGTATGATATGTGTGGTAGCAGTGTTTGTAGAAACATCAGTAGCAATGTTAGTGGCGGTATTGTGGCGATAGTGGTGGTGTATGATATGTGTGGTAGCTGTGTTTACAGAAACATCAGTAGCAATGTTAGTGGCGGTATTGTGGCGATAGTGGTGGTGTATGATATGTGTGTGGTAGCAGTGTTTGTAGAAACATCAGTAGCAATGTTAGTGGCGGTATTGTGGCGATAGTGGTGGTGTATGATATGTGTGGTAGCAGTGTTTGTAGAAACATCAGTAGCAATGTTAGTGGCGGTATTGTGGCGATAGTGGTGGTGTATGATATGTGTGGTAGCAGTGTTTGTAGAAACATCAGTAGCAATGTTAGTGGCGGTATTGTGGCGATAGTGGTGGTGTATGATATGTGTGGTAGCAGTGTTTGTAGAAACATCAGTATCAATGTTAGTGGCGGTATTGTGGCGATAGTGGTGGTGTATGATGATATGTGTGGTAGCAGTGTTTGTAGAAACATCAGTAGCAATGTTAGTGGCGGTATTGTGGCGATAGTGGTGGTGTATGATATATGTGTGGTAGTAGCAGTGTTTGCATAAACATCAGTAGCAATGTTAGTGGCGGTATTGTGGTGATAGTGGTGGTGTATGATATGTGTGGTAGCAGTGTTTGTAGAAACATCAGTAGCAATGTTAGTGGCGGTATTGTGGCGATAGTGGTGGTGTATGATATGTGTGGTAGCAGTGTTTGCAGAAACATCAGTAGCAATGTTAGTGGCGGTATTGTGGCGATAGTGGTGGTGTATGATATGTGTGGTAGCAGTGTTTGTAGAAACATCAGTAGCAATGTTAGTGGCGGTATTGTGGCGATAGTGGTGGTGTATGATATGTGTGGTAGCAGTGTTTGTAGAAACATCAGTAGCAATGTTAGTGGCGGTATTGTGGCGATAGTGGTGGTGTATGATATGTGTGGTAGCAGTGTTTGTAGAAACATCAGTAGCAATGTTAGTGGCGGTATTGTGGCGATAGTGGTGGTGTATGATATGTGTGGTAGCAGTGTTTGTAGAAACATCAGTATCAATGTTAGTGGCGGTATTGTGGCGATAGTGGTGGTGTATGATATGTGTGGTAGCAGTGTTTGTAGAAACATCAGTAGCAATGTTAGTGGCGGTATTGTGGCGATAGTGGTGGTGTATGATATGTGTGGTAGAAGTGTTTGCATAGTGTTTACAGGAAACATCAGTAGCAATGTTAGTGGCGGTATTGTGGCGATAGTGGTGGTGTATGATATATGTGTGGTAGCTGTGTTTGTAGAAACATCAGTAGCAATGTTAGTGGCGGTATTGTGGCGATAGTGGTGGTGTATGATATGTGTGGTAGCAGTGTTTGTAGAAACATCAGTAGCAATGTTAGTGGCGGTATTGTGGCGATAGTGGTGGTGTATGATATGTGTGGTAGCAGTGTTTGTAGAAACATCAGTAGCAATGTTAGTGGCGGTATTGTGGCGATAGTGGTGGTGTATGATATGTGTTGTAGCAGTGTTTGTAGAAACATCAGTAGCAATGTTAGTGGCGGTATTGTGGCGATAGTGGTGGTGTATGATATGTGTGGTAGAAGTGTTTGCAGAAACATCAGTAGCAATGTTAGTGGCGGTATTGTGGTGATAGTGGTGGTTTGATATGTGTGGTAAACAGAAACAGTAGCAATGTTAGTGGCGGTATTGTGGCGATAGTGGTGGTGTATGATATGTGTGGTAGCAGTGTTTGTAGAAACATCAGTAGCAATGTTAGTGGCGGTATTGTGGCGATAGTGG